ATCTCTGAAGCAGACGACTTCTCAAAAATTGTAGACCAGTGTAATTGAAGTTTTTACCCCTGCTGAACCCCTCTCTTTTTTAGTGTGTTGTCACTCAGGATCCCTTTGTCAGATACTTTTAAAATTCTATTGTAAATTTCTACCTTAAGCCCAGATGCAACATACCAGTTTTGAGAGACAAGGTGGGTGAGGAGAACAGGAGTCCTTGTGGCACCTTAGAGACTAACAAATTTGTTAGTCTCTAAGGTGCCACAAGTACTGCTGTTCTTTTTGCGGATACAGACTAACACGGCTGCTACTCTGAAAGGTGGGTGAGGTGATATATTTATTGGACCAGCTTCTGTTGGTGGAAGAGACCAGCTTTCCAGCTGCACAGAGCTCTTCTTCAGGTCTGGGGTAGTTTTTAGGGAGATGTGACCTGTTGGCCCTTATTCACACCAATGTTACCCCAATTTTACATTGGAATGGCTCACGCTGGCCTAAAACTGGACTAACACAATTATTTATCAGGCCTTTTTTGTGTGCGTTTTAGAAGGGGTCAAAGTCAGGCTTGTAATGGAAATTCAGCCAGAACCTTAACAATGGGATTACTCCATAGCTAGGATCCCCACCAGCAGAGGGCGCTGGCCAGGGGAGGTGCACACATTTATCTGTGTTTGCTCCCAGGCACTGATACCCTTGGTATCTAGGTAGGGCTACAGGTTGAATTCTACTAATAAGCGGTCAGATAACCAGGATCAATCAGGTTACTAATCAGAGATTATTGGTCGAAGATTAATCAGCACGATACAGGAGTGTAAATACATCACTGATCCGGGGAAGTGGTACTGCAGCCTGAGCCATTCCAACTACCTGCCAGAAAATCCCCCCTTTATAGACCGTGCTTGTTTATGACAAAGGGGCACTGAAAATTCCTTTCTCCTGACTGATTGACCTGTGGAATTCCTTTCATGACATCTCAATTTACATAATTGATACATTAAAGGCAAGCTCCCCTCGGCCCATCCCCCAGAGCCTCAGCGCGCTGCACCGCTCATTCGGGGTGGTTTTTTTTTATTGCCGAGAGAGCTCTCCCCCAGCGATAAAGCATGTCTACACTCCCCACGTCACAGCGCAGAAGTACCCTCAGTTTCTGAATTTGATGACAAAACAGTTGTGCATCACTGTAATATTTACTCAGAACATGCCAGTCTACAGGACCTTCGTTTAAAATTTGCTCTAAAAATATTTCATTAGTGAGTTGCTGAAGATTATAAAATCACATCTCTAAAAAATTGTTTCCCTCCCCTCCCCTCCAGGCTGCTGTCGGGCATAGGGGCACCAGTTTAAACATACTGCATAGGGCCCCATAAATCCTAAGGACGGCCCTGAGAGCTCTTGTTGGAGTTGGGGGGATCTCTGGTGAGCTAATTAGCATGTGTGTAGGTTCTTTTATTGTTTTTAATATGGTTTATCTGTATTGCATTTAGCATAAGAATAAATGTGCCTGCTTAGAAAGAGCTGCGTGGTAACATAATTGTGGTAAATACACTGTTCCTCTGAAGAGGAAGCAAACAGGCCTGCTTAGGCAGTCTGTCTTGTGGGGGCGAGGGGAGCTTTGCAGGTGATCTGTGACTTGCTACCTTCACTTTCGATATTAATCAGATCAATGTCTCTGCTCAGTATATAAGGAGGAGACGTGTGTGTGTGTCTGTGTGTCAAGATATCACAGCTGGAGACTGGCCCATCTGTTCTACTTCAATAAAGCTCAGAAGAACTGAAGTGTTTCGGGACTAACGGTGAGTGGGTTGCAGTTTGTTAACCCATAGGTGCAACCAGGAGGGAGGAGGGTGTAATGGGGGGTGACTTGCCTTCCACAGTTTAGTCGGGGGCACTGTGGTGCAAGGAGCAGGTCAGGGGCTATTGAGGCTGTGCTGTGTTTGTGGGAATGGGGCAGGGTCTCAGTAGGGGGCGCTGTGCTCCAAGGAGAGGTTGGTGATCTCACAGGGGGCACAATGTCCCAGGGAAGGTGGCTGGATGCTCAGCTGGGAGCACTGGACTGCAGGGAGCAGCTGGCATGTTAATTAGAGGAGTTGTGCTACAGGGAGCAGGGTGGTGGGCATCAGTTACGGGCATCATGTTGCATGGAGTGGGGTGAGGGCTCAGTAGGGGGCGCTGTTCTGCAAGGAGCTGGGCGGGGGGGGCTCAGTCTGGGGGGCCTGCTGTGGGGTGGGGAGCTCAGTACGGGTGCTGTGGTGCAGGGAGGCAGGGCTCGGAAGAAGTTTGGGAAGGTCAGGAGGGGGCACTGTGGTGCAGGGGGTGGGCAGGGATAGATTAAGCAGCAAAACCTTCATTAACACAGAGAAAAGGTGCCCAGTGATACCTTGGGCCCTTCCAGAATGTCAAGTTCAGCAAAACTCAAATGTCTGAAGACCATGAAATGCAGAGTTAAAGTAAACGCTTTATCTTAGCTCTGCCCCCCCCCCGCCCCCACCTCCACCCGGCGCTGCCAATAGACCCTGGGACTTGTCTGTGTGAACTCCAGCTGCAGTCACTGTATGAAGTGCAGTTGTCCTGAATGGGGGAAGAATAAGCTGGAGCCAATTAGGAGAGCTGTGATTGAGATCTGAGGAGATCTGGGTCTGATTCCCCCAGGTGTGTGATCAAAGGAACGAGGTTCCAGTCTGCATCGTTTCTATACAGAATTGAGCAGGTTGGGTCAGTAGCAGGGCACTGGGGTCTTCTGGCCACGGGGATTGTCAGCGGAGAGGTGGGAGATGAGCGCAAGCTTAGTGATGAGCAGGGGAAAGGACACGTCTAGGTGCTATCCTGGGTGCTAGGGTGCGGGGCTGGAAAAGGGGCTGACGTGGTTTGAATGTTACAGGTGTGGTGTTCTGTCGGGGAGCAGGTCAGTGTCTGAGCATAGGACAAGTGCAGGTAGTGCCAGTGAATAACCCTGACCAGGCAGAGTGGGCGTGGGCATGTTCTGAGCACAGGGGGCATGGCTCGAAGGGGGCAGAGCTAAGGTGATGTGGGCCTTTGCCCTGACTCTATTTCCAGCTTTTCAGAAGTTGGAGTTCTGCTGAACTCACTGCTCTGGAAGGGCAGGAGCTCTCACTGGGCAACCTGAACTCTGCCTCAATGACGTTTTTGCTATTTAACTTCCCAGTGTTTTAAACCAAAAGAGAAATGGTTCTCGGTGGGAGTTCGTGGCCATTTACACAGCTGTCGTCCCCACCTAGGTTTGCAGTTGCCATGCTACTGTGCCTAGGTAATAATCAAAACACCCAAGTGTTCATTGATGCTTCACATCAGGACATTTCAAACAGCTTTACATCATTATCCCCATTATACAGGTGGGAAACTGAGGCACGGGGAGGGGAAGTGATTTGCCCAAGGTCACCTAACAGATCAGTGGCAGAGCTAGGAATAGTCCCGGTCCAGGAGATCTCTCCACTAGGCCACGCGGGTGCCATGTGATTCCTCAGGGCCCCTCCTCTCTCCTGTACAGTGTGTTACAGTGCGGTGGGGATAATTTGTCATGGTTAATTTTAGTAAAAGTCAGGGACAGATCGGGGGCAATAACCAAAAATAATGGGGGGAGGGGTGACGGGGGGATGACAGAAGCTCGAGCCCCACGGTGGGGGGGAAAGAGCGCCCAAGCCTCGCTGTGGGCAGGGGGAGGGGGGGTCCAGCACCTGCACATGGCGGCTGACGGCTCTAGGGCCTGCGGTGCCTCAGGGTCCAAAGTCACTGCCCAGGCACCTCCGGGTCCCGTCCCGTCCCCCCCCCCCCCCCCCCCACCCCCCCCCCCGCCCCCGGGCCCCCCCCCCGCGGCGCCCCCTCCCCCCCCCCCCCCCCCGCCCCAACCCAGGGCTAAAGCAGAAAATGTCCTGGAGGTCTCTGAAAATCCTGGAATCCGTGAGCTCTGTGACATCATTTTATCCTTTAGGGTTAATGGTCGTGCAGTGAAACGTTCACAGTGTGTAGTTATTAACAGGGCCGGGGAGAGAAATCTCAGCTGTGGTGGCTACAACTATCATTACAGGCTGCCGTGCTGCAGGGATGGGGCAGGGGCTCATGCAGGGAGAGCGTTATTTAGGTTCAGTATTCCAAGCACTTCATGGGAATCTTCTTCTTTCTCTAAGGAAATTCTTTGGCTTCCTGTAGGGAAAATACGAATCCTTTTCTGGGATTTCACGTGTCACACGTTGTGTGGGCCCTTCCGTCCCCAGAAAAACAGAGGGGTGTCTCTCCTGGCATTCCTATGGGGGCAGAGTTAAGGTTATGTGTTTGATCTGAGTGGAAATTATCACCTTAACTCCACCTTTCCCATTTCCTGCCCAAACTCCCATTGGACCTTCACATGTGAGCTGACGTCTATCTTAGAATCTTAGAATATCAGGGTTGGAAGGGACCTCAGGAGGTCATCTAGTCCAACCCCCTGCTCAAAGCAGGACAAATCTTCTGTCTAAACTAACCGTACATGGAATATCTCATTGTCTTTTCGCAGGCAGACTGAGCAGTGCACTGGAGCTGCCATGGCTGGGATAGATGCTAAAGAGCTTCCCAAGATACCTGAAGAGGATGTGGAAGCACTGAAGGCTGCTGTTGGGAAAGGAAACCTCCCCGAAGCAGCTGCTAAAGCGAAAGAGGCTCTGGAGATGGTTGATAAAATCACTCTCAACATCGCTGTCACGGGGGAGTCGGGCTCTGGAAAATCGTCCTTTGTCAACACCATCCGGGGCCTGGAGGATGACGACGAAGGTGCTGCTGAGACAGGGGTGAATGAAACGACAATGGAGCCCACTGCTTACCCACATCCTAGCTACCCAAATGTAACAGTCTGGGATCTGCCAGGGATCGGGACCCCAACATTTAAATCAGACAAGTACCTCGAGCAGGTGGGGTTCAGTCGCTACGACTTTTTCATCATCATCTCCTGCACCCGCTTCACATCCCACGATACTGAACTCGCCCAGGAGATCCAGAGACAGGGGAAGAAGTTTTACTTTGTGCGCTCCAAAGTGGACCAGGATTTGAAAAATGAGAAAACACTGTATGACGAGAAGGGAATCCTGAAGCAGAGGAAAGCTGCCACGAAAAGGCCACATCAGTACAGTGAGAGTGCGATCCTCAGTGCCATCAGAGAGAATTGCATCAATGGCCTCAAAGCAGCAGAGGTGACCTCCCCACGGGTTTTTCTTGTATCTAGAGGGGACTTAGGCAAGTACGATTATCCCAAATTGCAGGAAACGCTTGTGGATGAGCTCCCCGGTCACAAGAGACGTGCTTTTCTACGATCCCTGTCCAATGTTTCTAAGGAAACCTTGGAGAAGAAAAAAGAACAACTGCAAACGCAGATATGGCTGAAGAGTCTGGTGTCATGCGGAGTCGCTGCTGTTCCTATCCCGGGTCTCTCCACTGTTTGCGATATCGCCATCCTGGTGACGTCCCTGAAAGAGTACTGCAGGGACTTTGGCCTCACTGAAAACGCTCTCGCTACACTTGCTAGACAGAATAACAAGCCCATTGCAGAGCTGAAGGCTGTTATAAAGTCCCCACTGAGTGAGGAAATAACAAAAGATCTTATCATTAAGCTACTGACCAAGTGCGCAGCTGGGGCAGTGAAATATTCTACTTATTTGTTGAATTTTATTCCTGTGGTAGGTTCTGTGGTATCTGCAGCAGTTTCTCTCCCTACCACATACTTCATGTTGAAGAATTTCCTGGATGATGCTGCTGCTGACGCTGTACGAGTTCTGGAGGTGGTTATGAAGGGAGACGTTTCAAACTGAGAGAAACAGCATGAAAACTCCCGCACCCCCTGCAAGGATCAAACGTCGGCACGTGACTGAAAGGATGAAAGTAAAGACCCTGTCCCAGCTGGAGCTCGGAGCTCAAAGCTGTGGGAAGTCTCATGAAAATGCTGCTTTTCTGCATCGGGTGTGAAACTTCACCATAACTGAGCTCTGAGCTCCAGGTCTCCCCCCCACCATAACATACTGAATTTGATTCAGCCAGGGTCATCCTCACTGACCCTGTTCTTTGTTTTTTCTTTATTTCCCCAGCGAACGATGCCAAGTTGTGATAAAGCTCCCCAGGGTCCCCAGTGCCTCACGCTCTCTGGGAATGGTTATTTCAGGCCCCAGCCGAGAGCAGGGCCAGGGCAGAGCCCATTGAACTCTTCACTGGGAAACGACAGGGAGCGACACCAGCAATGACTCCTTCTAGCCACAGATTTTCCGCGTCTTGGTTCCCGTTGCCCTGAAATTGCAGCCTGGGCAGGCGCCATGTTGGGCATGTGGGTAAATTCACTCAGACACAATCGTAAAAACCCTGAATCCTGACGTGACTTGGGTGACGACCCCCCGGTGCCAACCCCTCCCTCGTCACTGCAGGGCCCAAGGCAAATGAAACAGGCTTTTTAGCATAGATACTGTCGCACTTTCCCCCAGGCTGCCCCTGTCCGGGAAGGAGCCACCTGTAACCTCCCACAGAGCCCCTGGACTGCCCTCCTGCGAACGCCTCCGTCAGCCTCGCCCCTGCAATGGACCCTCCGGATCACTCGACAATGGCCCACGGCCGGAGCTCTGGGAGCGCTGCCCATTGCGTTATCCCAACCATCTCCCTGCTCCCGTGTGCTCCCCAGTCTGCCTGGAGCACCCGCCTGCTGGGTCTAGTCTTCGATTGTCGCTCTCGGGGGCAGGGCCCGTCCTTCTGTTCTGTGTGTGTACAGCACCTAGCGCAACAGGGCTGTCTCCTGACAGGGTCCTAGGTTCTCCTGTGAGACAATAATCGATTAAGAAATGCTGAGACTGATCCTTGTAATTCTGTCTCTACGCTCATAGGTTTAACCAGCCCCTTATGCAAAGGTAGATTTGTCCAGGGAAGCACCTGTGTCTGGCTGTGCTATTAACCCTGTGAATGGCCCTGGATTGAAATGGAGAAGGGTCAAGATGTGTCTGGCTGATAAACCCATGTTGGATGTTTGATAATTACCTGGCTGAGTGGCAGCTGTCACTTATACGCTGAGCTGTGCTCCCATTCACGGCTGGTGAGTTCGTGTGGAGAGAGACTTTAGTGTTTGATGCTGAGTTTATGTACATCTATTGCTCCTTGATTTGCTATTCTCAGTGTGAGCCTATTATATAGTTTATTATAAGAGCCAATGATTGAACAATTCATTTGAGCAATTGGAGACTTTGATACATTGCGGCTGGTTTGGCCATATGTATAGCCAGTGCCTCAGCCTCTGTCTTCCTCAATGACCCATTGATTTGTTGCCTTTGTTTTCATAATGATTAGAGGTCCAGTTCCATTATCCTTTCACACCCCCAGAATGGACCTCTCTTGTCTTGTAAAAATGATTTAATATTTCAATTATAATAAACTTGCATTTAATCTGGACTAAGAGCCCGTGTCTCTGAATTTCACCATTGCTAAACCATGAGCCTTTAAGGGCATTGCTCTGACTAGACAGGAGCAATTCCCTATGAGTGTCACTAATTGGGGGGTTTAATGAGGGGGAAGGAATGCATCTGGAGGGTGTTTGTGAGGAGGAGAAGCGAAACCCTGAAGCAGTATCACCAGCAACAAGGGTCAGGTTTTTACCTGAGGGGATTCTCTACAGTTCCTTAACTGTGACTCGAGCCCCCACCCAGTAATCTGGGAACCTGTATCTGCTCTGGGCACCTTTGCTGGGCAAATCTGTACCCACTCGCCAGCACAGTCAACAACAGTTTAAACAGAAGAACTTTGCTGGTGGAGGAAAGAGGAAGGACGGGGTGAGCTGGGACAAACCTTTACTGTTCAACACCTTCCACCATCTACTGTCTCAGGGTGTATCTGTCACAGCCCCGACCAATTGCCCCCTGAGAGGCTGATACAGTTTGTTCTGCCTCCCAGCCCCTCACTCACAGTTTGTGGCTGCAGGAGAATCAGGGTCCCTGGGGCTCTACCTCCCCCCCCCCCCCGTCCTGCTATGATGATTTCAGAAGTGGATTTAAACCTGTGCACGGTCACGTCCATTGGACCTTAAACCTAATGCTGCCACCACTCAGCCATTCTGGGGCTGTTACTATGATTTCAGCAGCTAGGACAGGGAGGCTGCACCAGGGTCTTTAGGTGATCGTAGACCCTGATCCCAGTCACTGTTCAGGCTTTGCCCAGCTGGTTCCCACCAGGGAACTGTCCAGAGTATCAGCCCCAACTACAGAACTTAGCCACATTTAACCCCGATGTCCCCAAACCATCCACAGTTGATATGTAAATAAGCTATGGCCTCACTCAGTCCCTTTGCCCTCCAGCAGATGCCAGCAGAGAGCTCCCTCTGGTACCTCCCTTCTCTCATGGACTTCAGGCCCAGGGCTCCCACTCCTCTCTCCTGGGTCTGCCCCTAACTGGGTTCCCCTCCCTTGTATCCTCTTTTCCTGGCCCTGGCCCAGCTGGGGTCACCAATTATCAATAAGTTGCCCCTATCACCACGAGCGGGGGGCTAGCTGCTAGCTCACAGGCCAGGCAGAGCTTGACTTGTCTTAAAGGGCAGGCCAGTCTGTGACCCCTCCCACAACAAACCACCCCACTGCACACACAGTGCAAAGAGAGGATGAGAGGCACCGAATCACGTGTGACAGACGTCAGTCACCTCATATAACATCTTACCGGAAAGTGCTCGGATCCCCTGGGGATGAGGTCAGGATCAGAACTTGAAGAGAATCCAGGCTGGTCTGGGAATCACAGAAACCTGCCTGAGTCTCAGGGGAAGAATCTCCCAGTCACGTACTCAGGTTTGTTCTTAAATCATAAGACAAAATTAAGGTCCCCTCACACCCGATTTCTCACTGTCTTATGAACTGTTTGTCTTCCTCCCACGGCCCCATAATTACTGCCTAATAATGAACTATTTTTTCCTGAGCCTTTCACCACAGAGCTTTCTACATATGAATTAACCCTGTGATCCCTTTCTGGGTACAGCGCTGCTCCCAGTGGAGCTAGTGGGATTTGTTGTACCACAGACCTCAAAGGAGCAGGATTCCCCCTTTCACAGGGGGAAAGTGCTGCACAGAGAAAATAAGTGACTTGCTCAAGATTGCACAACAACATAGACATCGAGCTCATAATAGAAACCAGGAGTCCTGGCTCCCAGTGTCCCAGCTCTAAATTCAGATTTTATTACTTAATGAAGCAGCAGTAACATGCAATGCACAGTCACTTCTGTTCCACTTAAGGTAGGTCTACACTTACCCGGTAGTTCGGCGGCGAGCGATCGAACTTCTGGGTTCGACTTATCGCGTCTTGTCTGGACGCGATAAGTCGAACCCGGAAGTGCTCGCCGTCGACTGCGGTACTCCTGCTCGGCGAGAGGAGTACCGCGGAGTCAACGGGGGAGCCTGCCTGCCGCGTGTGGACCGAGGTAAGTTCGAACTAAGGTACTTCGAACTTCAGCTACGTTATTCACGTAGCTGAAGTTGCGTACCTTAGTTCGACTTGGGGGGTTAGTGTAGACCTGCCCTTAGAAAATACACTCTGTGCATTACCCTAGTTAGCCACTGGGTGTCACTGCTGTGCTAATGAAGGAAACATTACCCAGATTGGCCAACAGGTGTCACTGTTGCTCCATCCGAAATACCCACTGCCCCACCTCCTGGGGAAGGGCAGCCAATCAGAGCTGCTGCAGGTGACAGGCGGTACTCTCCCCCTCCCCTCAGGAGCCAGAGGAGTGTTTGTGTAGGGCAGCATGAGAGGGGACAAGACCCCCCCAGAACCACAGGCGGAGCAGCAGTGGGACTTGGGGGCACAGAGCCGATGTGGGGCTGGGGGTGCACAATTAATGGCTGGTCTGGGGGAGGGGCAGATGTGGGACTGGGCAGGAGTCAGAAAATTCATGAATTATAATGTGGGGGTCTGGGGAGAAGCGAGAAGCTCCTTTCTATCCAGCAGCCACGAGAGCCAGAATCACGTACTCTGTACATCTGGGAGAGCCGGGCACAGTCATTGTCTCTGACACACACACTGGGGCAGGGGGAGTTCAGAAACCAGAGCACCAAACCCCTCAGTATCATCCTTTCAAAAATAGCTCATGATTTTATGACCAACCTTGTGGGTTTTGGAAAAGAAATCTGATGATTTTTTGGGTCTGACTTGCAATTTCTGAACATTGGGGGCTGGTATCCTGTTCCCAGCACCTGGCATCCCCACACTGCAGCTGTCGCAGGCTGGTCACAGGATTGGTAGCGACACATGGGATGGTGTCTCCAGCACAGGCCCAGCACCCCCAATGCTGGGCCCTATAAGCTGGTTCCCAGGATGGATGAGGAGCCACCGGCTTTGTGGCAGTCATGGTTCAGCCCGTCCTACCGACTGACTCCTTCCCATAATGCATTGCTCTGCACATGGGAATTACCCAAAAGCCCCTGCTCTCAGTGATGGTGCTGGGCTCTCAGGGATACATTTGTCCAGAGGCCCAGAACGCACTGGTTGTCGGGGGGACACTATAGTTCTGTGTCCATGCTGCTGGGTGTGACTGTCCCAGGCACGAGGCAGGGATGGAGCTGGTCCATCCAGCTAGGAGCTGAGACGAGCCCCTCGCTAGGGGCAGATGCTCTGAGAGGGGAGGACTCAGCCCAGCATCACTGTGCACAGCAGGGAACACGTTCAGCCACTGGGGCGGCCACACCATGCTCACATCTCCTGCCCTTGGGGATTTTGTGAGGGCTGTAGAACAAGAGCCCTGTTCCTGCTGGCTTTAGAGGAGAGGTGATTGGGGGTGTCTGGACAGCAGGAAACCTGGAGGAGGAGCAGGGACATATTCCTACCAGTCACTGCTACTCCACAAT